AACGGCATCATCCAACACTCACATGACTCTGGGAACAGTATATATGTTCCTGCATGACTGATTCATATACTTTAAAATGAAAAGTACATGTATGAGAAGTTTTCTTCTTGGAATAGTATACTGTTAATATATTTTGAAGAAGGCAAAGAAGAATGATTGATTTTGTGTGTAGCCTATTTTCGTCCAGGGGCAAATGTTTCATTCATGTTCAGATCGAGTATATTTTTCTGACGTCCCAGACTCACAGATATCATTTATAATCGTTATGGATTAGTCTGTCTAAATTGACGAGATGGTGCAAATGTACATACTTATACAACACGTATTACATTAATATCCCATAATTCATCCACTGTACAATTTTCGTTTGAACATTTGTCAAAAAAGAATCTTAAATCATGAATGTAAATCCAAGGCAAACAAGGTAAATCACGATTAAAAATCCGTGAATTAAATGCAGAGTTATATTTAGGAAGAGACTGTTAAAAACGGGGAACGAAGTAAGGTAAACCATGATGTTTATATGCAATCATATAAAAATATTTCTCCGATGAGTTGAATAACCTTTCTATCCGCTTCGATATTTGTAACGTTACATGTAACGTTTGATCAGTAAAAATACAGAAAATCTGATATTATACAGTGAAGTAATTGGAACTGATTTTTTGTTCTAAATTCTAAGATGCCCTTACTGCAGTGACGTCATTTAGAACTGTTTTAGGTAGAACTGTTCTAGGACAGTTTAGAACAGTTCTATGACAGATTATTCTGACAGTTCTAATGAGAGGTTAGAAGTGATCTTCACTGTATACTCCGGATACACCAGGCAGAAATCCATCAACAATTCAGTTTACGATTGTTTTTTTTTTAAAGCTTGGCTACGCATTTTTTAACAGGATAATTTAGAGTAAACAAAGTTAACTTGAGACTGTGTTAAAAGATTTAATGCGATTTTGGCAATGACAGTCTAAATCATTCAATTGTGTCCGTCATGTGTCCGTCCTTTCAGAAAGATATATCTCATCTTTACTAAATGTAACAATAGTCTGATATCTAAATTGCTATACTATTATAAATTGTACTGTAAAATGTTTATTTATACATAATTTAAGATTCATTCTCTTGATGTTGTGGTCTCTTATTAATTTCTCGCACGAAGAGCTATTTCTCGTGTCACACTGCTGGAAGTGTGATATGTACTCCAAAACAATCACGTTCATCCATACTTAAATTAACATTAAACTCTGAACTAATACAATTAAACAATTGAACAACTAGACAATGAAACAATCAAACAAATTAAAAAAAAAATGAATATTTCTAAATTAACCCTTGAACTTGATGCGGATAGAGACTAGCTGTCTACCACGAGCGATTCGGCAAGTGCATAATTCTTTTTTAGAAATAAATTTTTTTTACAACAAACTATTAAACATATTTGAAACTGTTGAATCTGTTATATATAACTTTCCTTCGGATAAATAAATCTTTAATGATGTTCTTTTTTCCGTAAATCACGATTATTCTACATCAAAGACTAGACTAAGCACATTAAATTGTATGATGCAGCCGTACATTGTATTATGAATCCCCAGATTTACAGACATCCTTCCGGGAAAAACAGTTCTTTTCGGATTATAAAAAAAAACATTTCCTTGTATTTGATCACTTGATCTATCAGTTAATTAATAATTATACATTCACTGTCAAACTGGTGTTAACAGAATGCTTAAATTGCAGATTTCTGTGCTTGCTGTCTTTTGTTCAAAAGGTTTTTCAGAACCAGGACAGACAAAGTGTTCAACAGTAAAAAGGTATGATCAAGTTTGCGCCTCAAAATAATTTTGTATACATGTACTGGCCTGTTATAATAAACAAATTCTGTATATTACTGTTTTAACATAGGGTTGACTTGGGTCAATTTAGTCAATTTGGTTTTCTTTCGACAGGAGGTAAAACCATTGTTAAGTGTGACGTTCGTTTGACATTGCGAGATGCATAGATACGCAGTTACGTTCGGTCCGAAATGGTACTTAAAATCCGATGCCTCAAGTGGAAAGATTGTCACACTGTTTTCACGTTAATGAAAACCTAGCAACAACTCTCTGAGGGATGCTTTGGTAATCTATTACAAGGGACAATTACTGTACCTATTTAACATACCAGTGTTTTCAGTGACAGTCCATATCTACCGTCCTTCATCCTTGTCGTTTCACCTTATAAAACCTACCTATTGTATTTATTGTAAAATATAGTTTCTCGTCTTGAATATACATTAAATAATTGCTACTGGGCGTTATACAAACAACAATCAATAAAATATTACTTCTATAGCACAAATTTTTCCTTTTAGAACTTTACCAGCCGAAATAAAATCCCGCCTATCGTGATATTGAGCAATACACAAATACTCCTGATCTTGACCAATGTCAACAAAAATAGCATACAAATTCATACATTAACACGAAAAAAAAACCCCAACTTTACTATTGCTTCAAACTTTTAATTAACAAATTAATGTTTACCCCCCAACCCCTTTTTTCTAAAAATAAATGAAAAATACACGACACAGAGATTGATTTATATAAGACTACATTTGATTAATACGTTTATCCATAACCATGTTTTGCTATATAATAAAAGAATTGAAAAAAAAAATCTTCAACATGTAATTTTTATAAATTTCATGCTGTGAAATGCTGAACAATGCTGAATGTGAGATACACTAAGTTTTTTTAATTTATTTTCTTCAAATTATTATTAAGTTAATTAAAGCCTTATAAATGAGGTAAGAGTGTGGAAAACACGTTTTGATGATCGAATAAGAGAGCCACGATGAGCATTTTGGCATTTTGGCAATGGTGCACAGGGTATCACTAATCTTGTAATTTGATTAGAAGAAAATAAATCAAAATTTTATGGAAGCCAGATTCTGCCAAATTCGTGTTATCTTTTTTAACGCGTTGTCGCCTTAAATAAAAAGACGACATTGCAAAATTGGCCGTATCCGGCTTCAATACAATGCATATGGAAATGATTTGTTAAAATATTTTTTGAACATTTAATAATGATTCAATTTATATCTCTTTTTAAGTGCACAGTTTTATGGGAAAACAACATATTATATGAACTATTTCTGTTGCCGGAATTTTGAAGAGAAAAATAAAAAATGCGTTGGTACGTTCAAATAAAATTAAGAATGGAAACGGGAAATGGGTCAAAGGGACATCAACCCAAGACTACCAAGGGGTCTTCAACACACCGAGAAAAACTCGCACCCGGAGTTTGGCACAAACAAAGTATCTAATGAAAATAATTCACTTTTTTAGGTCAAAGCATTTTAAATAAAGGCAATAGTAGTATACCGCTGTTCAATAGTCAAAAATCGATTTAGCTGAAACAAATCCGGGTCACAAATCAAAACTGAGGTAAACACATCAACTATAAAAAGAAAGAAAACGGAACAACAGAAACACTGAACTGCTATAAAAACAAACGCCAACATACATAGAAACGGACTATGTGATAACAATTGCCATATTCCTGACTTGGTACAGGACATTTTAAGAAAAAATGGTGGGTTGAACCTGGTTTTATGGATAGCCAAACCTCCAGCTTATATGGCAATGTTAAAAATACCGCTAAAATGACAACATTACGTGACAGGAATACAATACAAATAAATGCAAGAACATTCCGGACAGAGAAATACATAAATAAATAATATAATAGTACATTTCAACATGTAAACCACAGAATAACAACGAACACCTTACATTAAATAAACATTGTTTATGCAATTACAAGGGAAAATAATCCAGTGCATGCTAATTATTTTGTATTTCCTTTCGGTTGCAGTGAACATGTTTATGTTTTTTGACGAAATATTTATGGCGAAACAATAACAGAAATGATGTTTAAACTGTTTTAATCCTTTTCGTAGATATACATGTATATATGACCATATACAAGTCGATAACTCAGAAATCATCATTCGGCATATATGTTTTACATGCCTAAAACTCGATCAGTGTTTGAGTTTATCGTTAAATTATGCGAAACTTCTTAAAGAAAATAAGAAAAAAAACCTGTTCGTAGTATCAATCATTTGTTTTCTGGATTTGAATCGTTTATTGTCTATTTGAATAATAAGGAAAAAGCCATGATTATGATTATATATAAAGTAAAAAACTTAGACGAGTACAAACAAAATCATATTGGAGATCCTGATTAGTTACCATCAACAATATACTACTATAGTATTTGAACCGAATGCTTCTTTGTGTAATGTTATTGAAGTTGGTAAAGCGTTGAATGATGCACATGTTGTACAAGACTTAGTGTGAAACGCGGAAGATCTTCATACTACAACTGAGTGCACGATCAGCCCCATTACAACCCTATAAAATTACGAAAATAATCATGCAATTCTTATAAGTACATGTCTTCTTATGCTTCGAGTTATATCAAGCTTTTGATTTGTTTACTTATGCATTGTTGTGACGTTGTCGTGAGAATCACGTATATGTAATTTTGGAAAGCGTCGCGATTTTCATGATTGTTGTCTACTTATCAAAATAAAAGTTTTAATGAAACAAACATGTCCATAAAACAACATCTAAAGGGATATAAGTAGTATGCATAGTTAATCTTTATAGAATGTCAAAGAGGGTTTACAACTTCAAATGGAAAACCTTGTAAACCATGTACGGCAAATAAATTCGGGAACAAATGTGCGCATACATGTCACTGTACAGAAGATGAAAGGTATGTACTATATTCAAATATTACTTACTATTTTTCAAACGCCTTCTTTTTTCAGAAAAAAAAAAAAAAAATGAACTGTTTCTTTTTTAGGACTGATATAAAACACGGCGAAATAGATAAAACTTAGACGAGTACAACAAAAAATGATATTGGAGATCCTGACTAGTTACTATCAGCAATATACTATTTAGAACTGAATGCTTCTTTGTGTAATGTTACTGGAGTTGGCAAAGCGTTGACTGATGTACATTTTGTACATGTATGAAACGCAGAAGATCTTCATACAAGTGCATGATTCTTTTTTAGAAATACATTTTCTTTACATCAAACTATTAAAAATGTTCACAATCGTAATAAGAATCCAAGGGACAATCAAAAACTCAAAATCGCAGAAAGCGACAAATACATATTATTTCTTAGAATTTCAAATGTAATGGTTTAAAATAGAGTAAATCCATGGACAAACAGTTAAAAGTAACGTGTACAATGTGTTTACACAAAACTAAAATAATTCGAACTACATGTACATAATATATTATATAGTCAGTAACGTGGTGAACATTGAAGTCCATTGGCTTCAAAATTTTATTACCGTTTAGTTAACGTTCACATCCTTATTTTGTACCGCCTTGGTTGTCTTGTGGTGGCGTGCTCGAGGTGAGCACGGCAGGTCATAGGTTCTATTCTATGTCATGGTCAAACAAAATAGTTTGCAAGTAGTATATGCTGCTTCTCCGCTCAGCATGTGCATTAAAAAGTTTGAGCAAATATTGGTCAGCTCGGAGTCCAGAAAGGATTACATGTCTTCATGTGGACTGCTGCTTTGTAATATAGTACGTTAAAAAATCCGGCTCAGCATGTCGGTCTTGTACAAAGTACGGTGTGAAACCAAGTGTGTTTAAATGTTGACGAACTACATTGTTATATGTGTCGTGCGTTTCAGGTGTGATAGTAGACAAGGATGCGTGCCATTGCACCCAGAAATGTCGACTGAAAAACGTAGGTATTGTTTTTATATGTATACTCATCATTGTAAATGTTATAACTGCATATAGTTTTTGCACTTTTAGTTTTAAAAAAATATCACATTTATTTCAGAAATTGAAAAGAATAAAACTATAAATCCGTACATTTTGTAGAACACTTAACTGAATAAGACGGTTCCTGGGACAAGTCGAAAGTACTCACATAAACAAACACAATCAAACTGAGATGACTGTGTGAAATCAGCATGCAGTTCATAGAAGACGTCATCATTGAAAATGTATTAAATTTGATTGTCAACCATTCTAACAGAGTTAATTAAAATCAACAAAATATTGAGGGAGAGTGACAAGGTCCCGGCACATTAACGAATGATTAAAACAATTGATTGGGGAGTCAGTAGACGGTCTATTGCAAGGCAAACGTTCTAATCATATCCAAGCTACCTCAATTTACCAATGAAAGCGACGAAATTCCTTATTTCATCCTGCTAGACCTACCTGCAGATTTATTCGCTGAATTAAATGTGTATGTAATATAAACCTTAATATGTATACACTATTTGCCACTGGACGTTGAGTAAAAAAACAATCAATCAAGCAGTTAGTTATAACATATTATTGAACCTTTCATCTAATGATACGACAGTTGCTCAAGTTCATATTTATTCGTAAATTGAATGATCAATTGCAGAAAAAAATATCATGCTTGTGGATTAGAATCTGCTCCTTGAGTATGACACTCACATGAGAACACAATACCGTAAATTGCAGGAAATTTAATATAAAAATCATCCCTTATATCTCTGGAGCCGGTTTCACAAAAAAAAAAACTTACGACTAGGATTGATCGTAATTATACTGAATTGACTTACAATCAATCTTAGTCGTAACTTTTTTTTGAAACCGACTCCTGATTGTTAATTTCTTATGTATTTGAAGACAAACAAAAATCATTTGAAACTTTTTTTCATTTATACATGTACGCATTGTGTTCTTTGTTTTAAGTTTCTACATTGATGTATGACAACCAGCAAACAACCTTTCCCATGAATGTTTCGGGGCATACTATGAATATTGTTTACAGTAAGCTATATTGTTCATATATATATATATAATTTCTTATTTATGCAATTCGAAATATCAGGTTTACGATTCTGATGTCTTGAAATCTGCTAGATGATATAATTTCTGGAGCTACAATACACACGATTGTGCTATGAACAATAAATACTTTTTTTTAATTTATAATTTTTCTGGTTTGATAGCGTTCTGTCGGTCAAAAGTAGTGAGGTCTTGCACAAGTACGAACATGGCATCAGTTACATTGTTTAATTTTGTGAATGTTGTATTGTTCAAGTAAATGAAAGTTCGATTGTTTCTTTATTTAACGATTTGTATAACTGTAAACAAATATTCTACAGAAAAATATATTACACTATTAGGTATTGAACGTAAGTTTGGTAAGTCTCGTATGTATATATGTGTCACTTAAAACTATTTCACAATTGATTGCATATATATACATGTACATATCTGTCCCACAGAGTTAAGTTAGTTGCACTGTAACGTCTTATTCACAAAATATAGTTCGTAATGCTTATAAATCTAGTTGAATTGCTATGATCTCAAAGCAAACTAATTAAACAATAACAATGTTGCTAATCCTTCCTTGTAACTGCCAAGGACAATGTGGATAAAATATATTGCAAATTGTTCATGCTTTTGTAAAATATTGTTTAAATGGGCATACATCTACGCGTTTAGCATTAATTGATTTTTCTCTAAATTACAATACGACATTTGTAGTGTGCTAAAAAGCCCTCTTCTGATTTAAAAAAACCCAAACTTTTACGAACTTTATATGGGCGAATTAAATATGTTCCCCTTTGAGTAGTGATCGGTATCAAACATTGGAATTTCCAGGTTCATTCCTAAAGAACTGTCAAAGAGACTCGTTTAAATTGCAAATCAATTGTCGAAAATCGGTAGGCAATAATTTAAATCAAGCTTTTTTAACCTCATAAATCGATTAAGAATACAAATAATAATCATTCCGTCACCAACAAACAGCTCCTTACATGCAGAGAATACACACGATTTCAGATTTGAAAAAAAGTTTTTCACACTGAAAAAAAAAAACGTGAAAGAAGCGGTATTGCGCATGAACTAACAACGCAAAACTTTTTATGAACTTGACTATAAACACATATCATAGAAACCGCGCTGTTACTAGTCTTCGTCTCAAAAGATGTCATGAGGTGTTTCAACTTGGAAAAAGCTCACACATCAGTGCAAATTTAAAACAGCCATTAGTACTTTTATGTTATTTATATAACGGCCAGTTGAACTTCTCCCATTGACAGTAAAATGTAGGCCAAAGAGGACATGCATCTCATTCGCTGTTCGGGATGTATAAATATACAGGCACGTCAAGTCATAATACAGAAATACATATGATTCCTCGTGTCAGGAGTGTGCCACAATCTCTGCAAGTTAAGATACAGTGAGACCACTAGAAGTCCGTAATGTGGTCATTTTAGCCTTAGGCAAAATATCCACCCTATCCAACATATCCTATGGTGTAAAAGTAGTCTAACAATGTCAGCACCTCTTTATAATGGAGCAATTTTGCAGAGCCTGCATGATATATTATGTGTTAACAACAAAACAATTTCAAAATCAATCAATGAATCTTCCTATTTTGATTAATATCTAAATTTGAACAAGATTTTTGCCTACTCCTTATACACCACTGATGTGTCAGATTTTAAGTTTGATACATTTGTATATTGTATCTCAAATACTTCGATTGGTGTTTGTTGCTGGCTGTTATTTTCAGTTCGTTGTTTTCCTTTTCTGCAATTGTATTGTTTGTTTGTTTTTACTATGTTTTGTGTTTACCGCATTGGTATAACACCTCCCGTATGCTGCACATAAATATAAACAGTAAATACAATTGTAAAGTTTCATACTTCAGATCAGTACAATTTGGGTTAATCCCTTGATAGCATGTTAGATCCGTTAAATTGAAATTGTGCGTATATCATCTCACGAAGAAACGAAGAAGGAGTTCGTATAAATATTTGAAATGTAAATTATAACGAGTGTTACAAAACATTTCTACGCCTAACTACGTGTATGATATGAAGACATGCAGTTACTTAAAAAAATTATACCAAAAAAAAAAAAAAATAAAAAACAAATACAAAAATTATAAAAACATAAAATTTTATAAGTCCTGTTGTAGTATTACGTTTTCTTATAACTGTAAATACCGTTTTATATTATATCACGTTACTGTTTTAGACGAAAGCCATCACACACCAACTGATGTATATGAAAATAAAACGAATAGTACAGAAGGAAATGGTAAGAAGAATAGTTATCATTTAGATGATATCAACATGATCAAGGTCGATGTTGTACCATTTTGTCATTTGTAGTACAAATTTCCATCTTACCATATATGATCTTATAAAGAATAAAGTTATTTACTCATCAATGTACTTATTGAATAATTTCAGAACTTACATGAAAAATCTGCTTTAGGTTTCTGCTTTGCCTATATAGAATAATATTCCCAGCGTAGTGTAATTGTTTTCAAAACATTAATATTATAAGGGAAACACATTCTGTTGAAATATGTATAATATAGAAAATCAATATTTCCGGAAAAGCGTGCCATTGCCTGGAAGTCAGGACAGCTGTTGTTTATTATATGCATAAAATCGTATAATATAAGCATTCGTCTTTGTTACATTTGTTTGTTTTTATAGTGATTAAGATGATAACACAATGTTGACTGCTGTACCCCTATTTTAGACATTTATACCTATTATGTCTGTTTGTTTTGTTCACGCATCGTTGTCAATATAATGGAATTTGATGCAACTGTCATGCAAGTGAGAGGTTAAGCTAGCTATAAAACCAGTTTCAATCCACTATTTTCTACATAAGAAAATGCCTGTACCAAGTCAGGAATATGACAGTTGTTATCCGTTCGTTTGGTGTGTTTGAGCTTTTGATTTTGCCATTTAATTAGGGACTTTCCTTTTTGAATTTTCCTCGGAGTTCAGTATTTTTGTGATTTTTCTTTCTAATGAGTTTAAACGCCATACGATGGCCCAGAATGTATGCCATAACTGAAAATTGGAAGTTGATAATTTAAAGGTTGATATCATTAAGTTTGTCATAGATTTTAGTTTGAGGTCGTCAATCTTTGTCAATTTGAATACGATATAACCAACATATGTAGGATCAATGCACGTTTGCTAGAAAATAATGGTTATATACATTTAAGTGGAATTATTGATTTTTTTCATGGTGATATGACTACACAAACAAAATCTGTTAAAGAAGTAATCCTCATTTTGATATATGTTGTGTGACCGAGATACAAATGGACAATTAAACTCATAAGACGAAGACAAAATGACATCACCATGACCAATCAAAGACAAAAAGACGAAAAAGTTCACAGAACACTAGATAGAAAACAAAAGGGTAAGCGGCTGTAAACTATTTTAAAATTGTATGTTTAGTATTACAAAGGTTTATGATCTGTTCTTGTATGAAGTCGTGTTTTTCTTTGTTCTTACTTGTTAAACACTCTGTGTAAATGTTCTTTGTTGTAGGCGAACGTATAAATGACAGTGATTATATAAACTACGTCATCTGGACTGGATGTATTCTATTCATAATCCTGATTGTCGTAAGCAGTAGTATATGCTATATCTTGAATAACAATCTACTACTGAAACATTCCGCAAATGTTAATAGTATACTACAAGAAAAAGGAATAACTGCAGGTGTTCATAATCGGCCTGAAAGCGTCAAAGGACCTTGTGACACAATAAATGAGCAAACTTTGTCTCTAGATCATGCAATTGAGATACAAGTGGTAACCGGAGAAGCTTAAGGCAAAAATAGCAACGAGGATTGATATCTAAAATCGCAACATTCCGCAATAATAAAAAAAATAACAGGTGGTTCAACAAATGACCAGAAAACTAT